GAGGGGGGGGGGCATCCGGATAAAAGTACAGAGCACACCTGGTGTAAGACAGACCATAATAAGCGACAGAGATTCTTCAACAGAATAGAAAAACGTAAAATGTATATTGTAATATAGTTTGATAAGTGTGTTTTCTCTTCGTAGACTACTTTGACATCAGAACAAAACAAAACAAAACAGCTTTGTACGTGAAGTTTATGTAAGCTTTGCAGGTCAAGAAGTAGCACAATAACCTCATGGTGAGAGAGAGAGATAAACCTTAGATTATGGAGATTGAGATAGACAGACAGACAGACCGACAGACAGACAGACCGACAGACAGACAGACCGACAGACAGACAGACAGACAGACAGACAGACAGACAGACAGACAGACAGACAGACAGATTGACAGACAGACAGGCAGATTATGCGTTAAAAAAAAGAAAGAAAGAGGGAGCATATTGTCATTCAAAGAATAACCTCGTCTTTTATCTTTCATTAAGCACCCTTGTCCTCCTACACATTTTAAACTGGGTTAAATAGGCTCTATAGTGCATTCGACTCTTCCTGTACGCTGTCAGTTTTACGTTGTTATAAATAAATAATAATATAATCATTAGCATTTGTGTAGTGCAATGTTTGTTGGAGGTGTTTTTGTTTGTTTGTTTTGGTACTTGTATTGGCATTTTGAGAGATTTGTTTGTTGTTGTTGTTGCAATTGTAACAAATCGTGTTCACACTGCCCCAGAACCATTCAGTTACTTGAGTAATTGATGCTAGATTAAGATCTAGATCTAGTATTCTGCATAAAACCTTACACTTCTCGTGCAATCATGTAAAAAGAAAAAAAATGCGTCAGTTTCGACTATCGCGATAACCAGGTGAGATAATTAGCACCCTCTGCACACTCATTGAGCCTATAGTCCTTTCATCAGTGCTGAAAAGGTGAATCTCCCTAACTCTCGAGGGTTTCTACTCGACATAAGATTCACATAATAACTACTTCTCCGGTCAAAGTTAACAATCTTTGGAGTTCAGCCATGCCAGGAGACGTAAGATGGTGCACTACCCGCCTCAAAACCTCAAAACCAGTGACATATTCTTATCTAAAGAAAAGGCTTCTTTTTTTTCTCTTACACTTACACTGGCATGGGAAGAAAGGGGAACGTAGTGCCGTTATGATACACACGTGCAAACACATACACACATGTACACACATACACACATACACATACAGACGCACATACCTACACACATGCACACACGTGTACACACACACACACACACACACACACACACACACACACACACACACACACACACACACACATACGCACACACAAACACACACATACACAAATTGCGGGGACGGTAAGGGGCGGGGGTGCGATTGGAATGATACAGATAGATATCGGAGAGAGACAGAAAGAAGGGCAGTCGGGAGAGAGAGAGATGGGGTAAAAGACAGACAGACAGACAGACTCAGACAGAGAGATTAAAAATCAGAAATATTATACGAAATACCAAATCTAGTTAAATCGAAATATGTACACCTGGAGATAGATGGTTGGTGGGGTGGGGTGGGGAGGTGTTTGGGAGGAGGGTTTGTTGTTTTTTTAACACAGAAAAATACATATAGCTGAATAGATATTCTAAGCATTTCCCAGACACTCTATCATCCTCTGATGGGAAACTCACTGCATTTTGAATCGCTCGTGTGCACTCTTTTTCAGGCCCAGGATTAGCTTTTATTGTATACCCAGAAGCCATTGCGAGCATGCCAGTGTCCACATTATGGGCTATCCTCTTCTTCTTCATGTTATGCATTCTCGGATTCAGTACTCAGGTAAGCGGGTGGTTGGTGAGTGCTCTGCTGTGTGTTGCTCTTTCTTTCCTATCAAACATCAATTGCCCTGATCTTTCCTTTTCCTCATTTTTTTTATATTTGTCACTCTCTTGCAACACCACTTATTTTCGGTACTAGTGTGATCGTATTGTGCTGCAAGTGCCGTAATAATAATAATGATGATATTAATGATAATAGTAATAATTATAAGAAGAAGAAGAAGAAGAAGAAGAAGAAGAAGAAGAAGAAGAAGAAGAAAGATAATAAAAATAACAATTTGACTTTTACATACCACCCTCTTCTATCTCTCTCTTTCTGTATACCTACCTGTCTATCTATCTATCTATTTATCTATCTATCTATCTATCTATCTATCTATCTATTTATCTATCTATCTAT